GATTCATGCTGTACTTCCAGTCAAGTGCATACATAGGCATTGGAGTCCATAATGTTCTCTTCATCTAAACATTGACACAAAGGACTTAAGTGAAAAGTAATCCTTTAAAACTTTCATGAATGAGAAGGTGGATGGTAGAGTTGCGGTTTCCTATCTCTGTATTGTAATTACATCCCTGTAAGTTGTGTTCAGATCATTTGTAGCATTCTGTTTTTATTCTTAATGTACTTTTTAACATTGAGCCATACCTAATGTTGCAGAGAAGTCCAACAAAGCAGCAAATATCCATTAGTATCTATCAGTACATGTATTGCTGATTCTGTTTTATGTCCTGATTAGAATTCTGAATTGCATCAGGTGAGATGCGTTTGTGACAACTAAATGAGATTGAAAGCGGCTTTTGGGTAGTTTCGCTTGTTCAGGAAGTAGAGGTTTGATAATGGGCAGAAGCTAGGATCAGTATGTTCACGATGGATTTCTTTAATGTTGATCAGAATATTCGATGACTAAGGAGCTGAAAGGGGAGGTTGGCTCTTTTACTCAGAAGATATTTCTGGCTTTCATTAACCAGGCAGGACAAAGATCTCATTCTCAATTAGTCACATCACCCAGTACAGAACTTCTATGGAGTGACTGAAGCATCGTTTGAAAACTGAATTAATATGACTGTCACCTCAGGCAATTGGTTTTTTTTCCTTTGAAGTAGAATGATTGTACTTTGGCGTGTATTTGACTACATGAACAGCTCTTAAAGATATGCTTTGGTCAAACCAACTGTTCTCTGTATACACTCTCTGTGTCAACCTTGAATGTATCTGGACTATAGCAGGGCATCAGCCTGATGCCTGACTGTACATTGCATAGAATTATGTAAACAAGTATCCTATACAAATTATATAAAAATTAGAATAGCTCTTTGAGCTTTGCAGTAGATTATTGTCTCGTATGAAAGTGAGGATGTAAATCTCGCCAACACTGACAACGCTGTTGGGAGACCAAGAATAAATAGTGAGTTACTTTAGGTTGAATCCAATTAGTAGGATCTCTAGTGTTTTTTTGAGTAGGGGATGTTAATTTACAAAGCTGTAATTTGTAAACATTTCTTATGAATCATTTATGGTGAAATCCCATAAGATGGGCTGTAAGGTAGCCCTGCTCCCACCACTTCCTTTGTCTTTGTCGTAGCTAGACACTAATTTTACTACTAATTTCAGTGAGTTAAATCAGCTCAACAACAAAATAAGTACTCCCTTCTTTTTTTCAAGCTGACTTGGGCAGCTGAATCCACCCAAAAGGAAGTAGATCTGTGCCAGAACCAACAAATGACGAATGATGGAAATGCTTGGGCAACATCTGGGACAAAGTAGAGAAGGGAGAATAAGGCTGTCTTTTCAGCAACAATGACCTAAGTTAGATGCTCAGCTGTCTAATGGAACTTCACCCTTTAGGAAACACAGTAATGGTGAAGGGCGATTAAAGTGAAAGGCTCATATTTATTTTGCCTATGTTTATTTTCCATTTGCTTAATTGCCTAATACTAATATTCCATTTGATTTTGAGAAAGTCATTAGCTAAAGGCAAGATAGGTAACAAAAAGGCTGGTACAGTGATTTCTGTTGCGAATCAAAAATCTTGACTTCCCTTTCTGTTTGTTGCTGAAGTGCAGTTAGGTCAAAAGGAAGAGAGCATTCATTCAAAAATGCACTTGGACTTAGCAGGTAAGGAAGGTGCAGTGTATTCTCAGTAAAAATGTTTTTGCATAAGCAGCTTTGCTCTAATTTTAATGTTGGATACTCACTCCAGTGACTTTTCACATTAATGATAATAGTAAATTTCTTTAAGTAACATGTACCTTATCACTAAATGTCATACTTATGGTTGCATTTTTTTTAATTTACCAATTTCTCTATATTTCATTTCAGCAGACGTTTTTTGGTATCAAGTAGACATTGTCAGCTTAGATGTGTGCTAGAGCTGAGGTTTGTAAAACTGCAAATTTTTGATTAAGTAGACCTTTTTTGGTTTTGCCATTTTCCAGTGAAAACATGGCAAACTTCTGTAGATTATTTGCTTTGCATATTCTACCTCAGCTATTGTGAAAACTTTTTTTTTTTTTCCAATGAAGAGTCTCATCTGACCACTGACTGTCCATCATACCGAACGGTGCTATTTTGAGCATTAGATCACACCCTTGAAGACAGTAGTGGCAAAAAAACTATTTTAATAATGTCTTAAGTGGTAGGCTGAAAAGTTGCAAAGTATTATTAGAGAAATTGAAATCCTATTTCAGCAACATCTTTTGTTACATCTTTTCAGATCTGTTACATCTGTTTGGATTATTGTATAGTAATAACAGTTAGTTAAAACGTAATAGCAAAATTTAAATAAATTAAACTACACTTTTTTTTCTTTTGAGCGTGTAGTATGTGTTAAAAACAGATTTTTAACAAATGTCACTGTAGAGAAGAGAAGTCTATCTCCATGCTGGTTCTTGAATTTTCTCAGTATTTGGGTGCCATATGGTTTTACAGTAGGGCAAACGCTTTTGATGAGTTTTAGGTGGACTCAGGAAGAGGAAGAACTTAGATAAAATTAGTAGGCATATTTGTTTTATTGAATCCAAAAACCTCAACATAGCAATAGATATACCCCAGTTATAAAATTTTTAGCAATGCAATCGTAGTACATTACACAGTGTTACAGACTTGTTTCTTTGAGAAAGTGTTTGGTAAGAAATGTTTGGGCAAAGAGCAGTTGCCTGGAGAAGTGAAGTCAATTTTGTTGTTCTGCAGTAAGCAGTGTCATCACTTTCCTTTAGGTTTTTTTTTTCTTTAGGAACTGTGAATCTTGAGGGAAAAAGAATCTTTTCTGACTTTTGCTGAAGGGCTGTAGCACCTTTCTACCCTGTAGCCAGGGCCTTTGAAATGGCAAAGTTGCTGTATTTAATCAGAGTTATTGAATGTTACTATATTAGATACTTTTCCATGTATGCTGAATCATCATCCTGGATCAATATATGCATTCATTATCATTTTGACATGCAATAACTTTGTATTGCTTCTAAAAAAAACCAAAAAAACAAAAAAAAACCCAAAAAACACTTTTAATAGCTATGTAAATTTCATGACTGAAGAGGAAAGTTAATGTCAGGATGTAAGACAGCTTTTGTGATTAGTATATGGTCTAGGCAAACCTGAAGTATGCATAGTAATCTCTCCAACCACCGAAGTTGGTGTTTAGCTCTTACATCATTTGATTAAACAGACAAATAAGTTCTGTTCAATCCTAAAACTTATTCTGGCATCCCATATCTCTTTTGGAGCAAACAAGGAAGTACGTTTCTGAGTAGAGAATGTATTGTGAGTGGAATTTGGGGTGAAATTCATCTTGGCTAATTTTAAGTATCTGCAGTGTAGGTATCTGCCCCCATATGAAAAATGCGCTGAATTGGGAAATAAGTCCGTTTTCATTATTCACATGAAAGCCCCATGTAGATTTAAATGCCCAGTATCTGAAGGAAGTCCCATTTCTTAGCAGGTTTTCTCGTCTGGATGCCATTTCAAGGGAATAAAGTTTGTGTGCTTTCCAATAGGATCTTTTCTGAGATCCATAGTGCCTGCTGCAACAATATCAAGGCACCAAGACTTTTGAATCCACTTCCAGTTAAGTGACTTTGTGGCTATATTGAGGCCTAGAAGGCTGATAAACTGTTTCCAACTCTGAAAACTGAGATGAAGTTCAAATTCAAAATAACTTCTGTAAGATGAGGGTAATAGTGAATAAATCTAAGAATGAATAAAGGGTAAGGATAGGTCTCTAGGTATCCTTTAGGTCCCAGGTTGCCAACTGATGGTACTGGCCTCCCCTCCGCAGGTATGCACACCTTTCTTATTTCTCTCAGGTTTCACAATACCACATTTAAAACAGCCTATGTTAGATATGAAAGCACAGGGGAAAAAAACCCAAAAAAGCAAAAAAAGTTATGATTCTTCTTGCTGTTCGTGTTTGCTTTAGTGTATTCTGTGAAGTGCCATCCTGAAGAAAAAATTTCATAAGAGCAGCAAATCTTTGACATGAAGATATATCAATCAAGCATAACTTCGATAATCCAGTCTGTCTTTGAAGAGTAACTACAGGAGAAGTTAGATTTCTGGACTAGGTTTTCCTTATTCATTTTCATTTTGTGGTTAGCTGGCTGAAGGACCAAGATCAAGATTTCAGAAGAGTCATTGTTAAGGCTGTCTGTTGAATTTGATGAGCAGTACAGACAAAAAAAAAAATCAGAGGTTCTGAAAATAACTAGAACATTAATCTTACGTAATTGCCTACAACTAAGTTAGTATGTCTGTAGTGTGTTATTCTAGTTCAAATAAAAAATGAAGTATTTTTTTCCAAATAAGTATATGTGTACTCATAATATGTTAAGCAGTAAGTCTCAGAGAGCTGTTGCAGTCACTGTATCTTTACATTATGTTATTAAATATTTTGAATTTCTGGATCCAACTAATCTGAATATAATCCATTTAATCTTCACAGATGAAATTTTCTTACCAGATTCTCTCTCCATTGAGTACCTTTCTGCTCAGTATGACATTTCAGAATAGCCATAGCTCTTTAACACTGATGCTTGCTATTTATCATTCAGGCATAATTTAGAAAGACATTCAGAAACATGTTGTTTGGTCTTACGATGATTTTTTGATACTTTTTGTAAAAGTAGATCTGCTTAACCGTTGGATCTAAAATTGATGAGCCTGCAGTTATATTTCTTTAAATAGATTTAAAATATTCAAAATTGTTTGGATAGTAAAGTATACATTTATGTTTAATCAATATAATTTCTAAATTTGAGGTTTTATCAATTTAAAAAAGCAGAAGATCTGTATTTGATAATCATATTAATGTAAAATACTTATTCTTCAGATTGAATACCACATAGATATTATTATTGAAATAATCACACATTTCTTTCACATTTAGTTCTGTTATTCTTCACATAGGGAGACAATTTTAAAGAAGAACACTGGGCACCAATTGACAAAAGTGAAGCAGAAGAAAAAGCGAAAAAGAAACAAAAAAATGAAGGGCAATCATACAGAAATTATGAAGAAAAAATTAGGTGGAGCAGCTCATCATCTAATTCCAGATGACCAGGAAACATCAGAAACTGAAGATGATGACTCAGAAGAAGAAAACAGAAAATCTTTGTGTACATTTAGTGATGAACCAGGGGATCCAATAGTGGGTTGTGAAGAGGGGCTGCCTAATGATGATAATGGAAGCCTAAAAGCCACAGTGTTTCCAAAAGAAAGGTCTCCTATTGCTGGGTCTGAGACGTCAACTGTGTTGGACAGTGCACTGAAAAATGAATTGTCTGTAGAAAGTGGCAATTCATGTCTATTAAATTTACAATCTCTTTCTAATGAAAACATAACTAAATGTGCATTTGATGATCAGGAAACAGACCAAAGGCAGAAAGAAAGTGTTTTAGAAAGCAAGAGCAGTTTCCTAAAAATAAGTGACGATAAAAATTGCATCCAAGAAACAGAAAGCAGCTGTGCTGATTATAACACTGTGCTGTTAGGCACAAAAAACAAACTTAGATCAGATCAAATTACATGTGAACCTGACATGGAAGCTAAGCCTTTAAGTTTGAACAGTGAAAAAAAAGAAATCTCTCAGTGTTACAATTCAGAAGTATATGATAAGATGTCTGATGATAATACAGAGGAGAAACATGCATTAGAAGGAGAGAAGAATTGCTCTAATGGCTGGGCGTTTTTTTCAGTTAATTTACCTACTGAGGAATTGCAGCTCGACTTTGATAAACAAGTTTCTCTCTCTTCTTGGTCTGAGGATAAGTTTGTAGGTGAACAAAGACAAAAAAAAGTGAGGAAACCGAAACAGGCTCATACTAACAGCTCAACAGAGGTAAATTGCCATCAATCTTATGAAGAACTGGTAAAGGAAAACCATCCATTGATAAAGATAACAGCAACTGAGGAGACTGGTTATGTAATAAGCCATGGTCCATGTGCATCTCCAGCAGGTGAAATGCACATTGATCCACTTGTGGATTCCAGTGGCACCTTCACGTGCTGTGTGAGTCAAGTAAGCACTCCAGGAAGCGGGCCTGCGCCAATTACCTCCAAGAGGAAAAGATACAAAAGAATTTTCAATTTGGCACCAAAGTTTAATCTACCAAGACAGATTGCTGCCTATACAGAGGGAAGGAAGGAAGTACAATTAAGAGCTGATGTCCCCTCAAAAGATGTTTTAGAAACTGAGCAAAAGAGAATTCTGAACAAAGACAAGGGAGAGGAACATGAACAGAACCTTATGTCTCAGGAATGTTCTGCACTTTACAACGACAAAGAGACAGCCTACTCCTTACCTACCCATGATGTAGATTCTCCATTACGTGACGTTTCATGTAGCCATTTGGGACAGTCTGAATCTTCTCTGATGCCAAGTGTTTGTATTATTTCCAGGACAAAAGAGGAACAAGATGGAACTTGTAAGCAACAAGTAGTTGATGAAAAAGAAGGTGAGAGTGAACAAGCCTCTTCAGAGGTTACAACTAGCCAACCAGATATTTTGTCTTCTGTTAAAGTGGTTTCTGAATATCCAGAAAGTTCTAATATGTTGGAAGCCTGTGGTGAAAATGTGCACAAAGCAGATGACCCTGAGCCATTAGAGGCTTCACAGATTGAAGATAAGCAAGATGTGAACATGAAACGTAATTTTCTGGGACTTCCCTTATCATTAGGATTTGCTTTCCAACTTGTGCAGCTGTTTGGTTCTCCAGGCCTTCCACTGGGTAAAACTCTTCTTACTACCTTTATGTAAAAACTCCTGTGATTAATTATTCGTTTTCATTGCAGGTAACACTCAAATATTAGCTCTATTGCAAGGAATGACTGCTTTCTTAGTGAATTCCACCTAAACTCTTCTTCAGTTTCTGTCCAAGGTGCCATTGGCTTCAAAACTAAGAGGGTGTCTAGTTTGGCCTCATCTTTGCAGTCTCTTTAGTAATGACGGCTTACTAACTTTAAATCCAAAGTGTGAAACTCTTGTAGATGTGTTACATTAATACATCATATTGAGTAAGATTTTAATGAGCTGATTGCAATATTACATGAAAACATGATACAAAGTGTTTGCTCTTATGTGAAGTGTATGTTACCTTTTCAGTATAGTACCATTCCTTTACTTAGTAAAGTTCTCGTATACTGTTACATGCTTAGATACTCTTGAAAACCTTTCTTAAAATCTAATTTAATTTGAAATTGAATATCAGACTTGTAAGAGGCATTTTCCAATACTGAATACATTCTTTTCAATCATGCATGGTTAAGAAGTATCACAGGTGTGTATACTCTTGTTCCAGAGCTCCAATTGTCATGCTGTTGTACTCCCAGTTTAATCATTTTAGTTTGGTAGTTATAAGTATGACAGTCAGTCATTAAAGGATTTGTGTGTGGCAACCGTGATTTCCAAATTAATACAAGCTAACATAACTGTACATAACTGTAGTAAGCAACAACAAGAAACATTTGTTTGGGAATCACCGTAGCGTATCATGCTGCATATACCCCTGCTGAAAGGTCAGAAAATATTAAGCCACCTATATTCCATGCTTCCTGCGCGCAAAGCACTGAAACTTTTTTGGCCCAAATTTGATGAGACTATTCCTGTGTAAGTAATTCATGGTTTTATTAAAAAAAAAAAAAAAAAGGGGGGGGGGAAGAAAAACTGGGGCTAATTCTTTGCAGCTTAGTGAGGTGCAGAAGTCTCTGTGGAAAAACTCTTTGATTTGGTCTGCAAATAGGATTAGAAAACACAGACCTGCTTTTCAGCACATAAATCCTTAAACCTATTGGCTTTAGTAGAATTTAAAGTTAAACATGTACTTTCATGTAAAATTTTAATAGAACAGCAGCTTATGTACTGTTTATCTGCCAAGAAGACTGACTTCCAGATTCTTTGTTTTTATCATAAAAGTTGATGCATTAATACCTGCTAGAACAATGATGGCAAACCACTGCCATGGTACTGATAAATTTGGTCTGGTGCCCAAAAAACCTGCAGTGCTCCTTTATATAAGTTTGGCCCCACACTGTATATAGTGCTCTGTATAGGGTATATATACTGTTATATATAACAGTATATATACTGTTCTGTATAGGGTTTCCTATTTAGAACTACAACAGAGCAGCAACTTACTGGTGATATCCTCAACTACTATGCAATTCAGTCTGTTCTACATACTCTTCTCTATGAGTCAGTAACAGGTGAAATTCTCTTGTGGTTAGATGAGCTTCCTTTGAAAGTAATCTTTAAGAATTACAAAGTCCCCCTGATATCTCTCTGAAGCCCTGCATGTTTGTGATTGTTACTTTTTTTCTCAAGATTATGAATACTATCTGCAGAATACTGGCCACATTCTGATTTTCCAACAGTTTCAAAAATAGTTGGGGTTTTTGTGGCCTGTTATTTATTGAAAATATATATTTTATTGTTGTAAATAATAGAACTGTAGTATTTTACCTTGCAGGCAATTACAATAAATTTCTGTGGGTTTTTTTTTTTTTTGGTAAAGCGTTCTTTGGATACTTATAAATGAAAGAGTTATTTTTTTTGCTTATATGATTCTCATATAAGCACAGAACATATTTCAGATTGTTTTCCTATTAAGTATGTCACTGTAGGATTTTACCTTTCAGGCAATTACAATAAATTTCTGTGGGTTTTTTTTTTTTTTTGGTAAAGCGTTCTTTGGATACTTATCAATGAAAGAGTTGATTTATTTGCTTATATGATTCTCATATAAGCACAGAACATATTTCAGATTGTTTTCCTATTAAGTATGTCTTTTCAACTCCTTAAACAGTGAAGTTATTACAGTTAAAGCATTTTAAAATATAATTTGCTTAATGATGTTGCAAAACTTTCTATAATTAAACATTTTAAAATTTAAAGATTGCTGCTTACGTTGCATTGGCTTTTTAAAATTTTGTTTAATCTACAGAGTGAAAGCTTTCTATTTTGTTCTTGTTTGTGCGTAGTTTCAGGGGAGATATGGAGGAAACAAAGTACTGTGGGAAAGCCTTTTCTAAAAGGGAAACCAAAACCAAATCTTTCTCCGTCCTCCCAGTCCCACACATTGGCCTTAGATTCTTTAGAACCTAAACTCTGACTCTGCTGTTTGCTCATTTAAATATCTACTTATTTTAGAAGGACATATTTAAGTCTGCAAAAATATAAATGAGTGATACACTTTGGCTATAAAAAAGATTTGAATACTCAACTGCAAAAATATTTTGTTCTGCAGAATCCTTGTTGCCAGATGATTATATAGTTCCTCTTGACTGGAAAGTTTCAAAGATGATCTATTTACTGTGGAAGACCTCTGTGGAGGTACGAATTTTAGGGGATTTTGGAAGGCTTTCCAATATTCTAGCTATAAAGAGGAATCATTCAGCTTGTGAAGCAAGATGATGTTATTTGCTCGTAAATTCAGCTTGTTTTTTATATAACTGGAATGAGGAAATGGATGTTTTATGTACCTTTCTGAATATTACCAGAGCCAGCTCCAGGCTGGGTAGGACTGAGTTTTTGAAAGATGGGCTTCAGAAATGCATATAATCTAATTGAGGGGGATAAAAATCTTTTTTTTCCTGATATTTGAGTCCTAGCCTAGCCTATGTTCGTTAAATAGAACCTACCATCATTTACCATCTATTCTTTCTTAAGGTTTTCTCTCATCATGTGAGAGAATGCCATCCTCTGCTAATAGCAGCTCCCTCACAGCCTCTTCCAGAATGAATTCTGGTAGAGAAATCATTCTGCATGATTGGGACTTAATTCTTCTTGTCTAGTTAGAAACTGTTGCTTACAAATTACTTTTTTGCCACTTCCCACTATGGCTGTTTCTTTGTGAAGGCTTATTTTTTTAAGGAGCGCTGTACCATCCAGTAATGAAAATGAGAAAAGTCCTGTAAATACAGTAAAATAGTAACTCTGTAATAGAACATAGACCTTGATCTGTTCCCAAAATAACAAAATCTCTTCTTGTCACATATTTTCTTTTTTTTCTTTGGACTGTTCTTATCTATTTTAGGAGAAACAGAAAATAAGTCGATTGCAGAATGGAAGTGCCTTTGCTGGTAAGTGTATTTGTGATACAAAAATTATATACGATATTTGTTGTTCAGAAGAGAAAATAGTTAATACTGAAGTGTCTCATAGTTTTTCGTTGCAAATGAGTGATAACACTCCTCTCTGGGCAAATGCAGTACATTAAGCTAAATAATATGTGTCTCCATAGATTGTACATCTAGTATGGCAGAATTATAGTTGCTGTGAAGCATCATTTTATATTTTCTGATTCATGGTTTGAAATTCTCTGCCTTTTAAAGTTTTCTGTATCAAATTAATCAAAAATTTAGCTCAAGTTTACCTGATTCCAGATCAATAGGATATTTAACATGAAAAACATCTTCCTTTAGACTTTTTCCTCTGAAAAGTTGAGCATCTTCAACTTAATTAAACTTAACAGTCCCTGAAGATTGTCAGCATAACAATAGATCAGGCTCTTAAGCAGCAAGAGACGGCTGAGGTCTATGAAAAGCTCAAGAGTTCTGTATACATGAATTCCTGCAGTGTGTAGATTGTGGGATAATGTTACTGTTAATCTTGCTCCATAATTTCTGTATTAGTTTAATATAATTCTACAAGTTGCATAATGAGCATCTGAAAATACATACTAGTTTTTCCGTGGAAGCTGATGTGATTTCATGCCTGAAATAGGAAAGGACATATGAGGCTCTTTCTTAAGAAAGAGAAAAGGAAGCTCTTTATTTGAAGAGAACTACTTGAGAGTAGAGAGGAAGAGGAGGAGTAGGGAATATATACATAAAACTATCAGAGACAGCTGAAAAAATTAGTTCATTTCATAGACCATTTAGGATGTAAAATCAATAGCATTCTGGTAAAATAAAGGCTTGTTCTCTATTCTGACATGATACAAATGAGACTATATAAGATAATTGCAGATGTCTTTGGTTGCAGTTTGTAATTTTTTTTTAGATGATACTGTTGGTCTTGAAGAGCTAAATAAAAATTGTCAAGAGAATCAAGACTCTTCTGAGACATTACCAGAAATAGAGCTGTTTCAAGGGGAGATAGAAGAGAACATCATGACCCAAACTAGCACTGGCTGCCTGGATACTGTACTTCATCAGTCATGATTGGCCATCTTAAATAAAAAAATTCTGCATGAAGGAAAAGGTAATAAATCACAAGTTTAAATGTGTTTCATTCTTTTATTATATTTGACCAAACAGCTGAAGAACATTGGTTGTTAGCATTTCTAGGATGCATTGAATATCACCCAACTTCTTTTTTTTTCCTTCAGGTTAGGGTTGAGGCTTCCCCCTCACACATTGGGAGAAAGAGGAGCCAGCATTTTGTTATAAAAGCCAAGTGATTTCCCCCCCTCCCTGATTTCTAAAACCCTTCCTAAGGCAGTGAAAACAGTGGTCTAGGATGACTAGGAGCTGGACTTTATTCCCGGTTTGCTTACAGGGGTGATCTATGGTGAGTCATGTCACCTCAGTGCCATCTTCCTTATCTGTTGACTGTGAAGAGCAATACTGACTGCTTTAAGAGATCTAATTATGAAGATCACTGCATAAACAATTAAACAGTATTTCACCAAGTTATGAAAACCTCATGCATGAGGGTTCTGCTTCTCAGTAGAGAATCAGCAGCAGGAAGCTGCAATAGGATTCCATTTACTTAAACGTTGGTTTTTTTTCATAAATGTTCTTTACCTTGTCATTGTGTATGACAAAGTGTACTACTGAGCATCACAAAGTACACTGACATGCTCATTCTCTCCTTGCTAATTTTGCACCCTTTGGTAACTTGGCAAAGTTTCTCCTGTTCATTTATGGTAGGTAGCTTGTGATAAGAAGGAAGGACTTCTGGATCCAGTTGTGGAAAAAAGCCAGCTTAACTTTTTGTATAGCTTTTCATCAGTTGATCTTCCCAAAGTGGAAAATGCTTTAATCTGTGCTTTTAGAATGAGAAAACTGAAGTACAAAGAAATAGAATAATTGTTATGGTTGGCAAGTTGAGCCAGATTAAAAAAAAAAATACAGATCCTGACGCCTAAATTATTCACATCTAGACCTCACAACTGCTGATAATAAACTGAACCATTAGAATATCCTTACGGGATCTGGCCAGAAGTCTGTATTATCTGGTATCCAGTGCCTGACAGTGAGTATCAGTTGACGTCTGGAGAAGGAGACAAAAAGGCAGGCATGTGTTGTGTTGGGACAGTTATGAAAGGGGAAGTGTGGCCTTTGTAGAAGGCTTCTTAATTTACCATTTTCAGAGTGGAGGTTTGTGACTAAAACAAAGTAACTGCACAGTTTGGGTTGGAATTTCAACATATTGGATGGATGTCAGTTTTGGTTATATGCATGTTTATATCATTGATGACAAAACTGACAACGTTATTTGCTGATTAGCCTGTACCAACCACCATTGCAGGGAAAGGATAAAAGCGTATGGGAAATATAGCACTAATGTTCCAAGGTGCTCTGTCAGCATAGATCATTAATAAAACCTAGAACACCTAGAAGCACTGTTGTCCTCTTCAGTAACCAAATACTAAAATATTTGGTAATTAAATCATAAAATATTTTCACTAAATACTTAGCTCTATGCCAGCCACAAGGTTTTTTAAGTTCTATATTTGTGTTTTATAATGTTGCAAATGTGGACATTACGTAGACCAGTTTTTTGCTTATGATACTGATTAAAGATTTCAGCATAGATCTGTAACCTAAATGACTATACGGAAATGTCCAGGTTTATTGTTTAAAATGTTTTTTATGCTGAAGGAGGAAACTTGGGAGAACATTAATGTGCAAATTCTAGAGAATTGGTTTTAGAAAGTGTTAGCTGTAAATCTTTTTAGGGTTGGGACTCACTGGCAAGCTTTGTGTTGCAGCACAAAGCAGGTGGAGGATATTAATTTTTGAAATTAGTTTTGTACCTTACTTTGCTTTACATATTGTACAAAGTTTTTAGTGCACCTGCTCCAGTTCATTTTTCTGTACGAGCTGCTCATTGCAGCATATCTTTATCCAAAGCCTGAATTTAGGAAGGCCTTGAATAGTCACTGTGAACAAAACGAACAACTACTTTTCTTCTCCCATTCTGCCAATTTTCCCTAGTTTCTTCACCCTGCCTACCTTCTCCTGCATGTAAGCTTCTCCTGTTTCTTTCTGTCTCCTACCTGGAATTCTCTTGCACCCATACGCTGCATCCTTTCCTTTCCTTTGATTGTTAGGATTTTTAAGGGATGTTCCACTGCAGATCCCTTTCTTTGGACTTGCAGTTGTTAGTAATAAACTGCTAAATAAATCCATCAAATGAAATAAATGATCAGTTATTGAAGAGTGCTGCTTTCATCTCATTAAAAATTTGTGGTGAACCCTGGAAATTAATTTTTTCTTTGCTTCAGGAAAGGAAAGGTATATGCTGGCTGAGTCTCCTGCCTTATACCCGCTATCTTTATGATTGCTGCATCTAACGAACTGTTTTTTCCAGTAGTTTACCCACTTTTCTTTCTGGCACCCTAATCCTAAAATTGTTTCAGCCGTTCTTTCCCACTTGTTTTGAATGCAGAGACAGTGGTCTTCAGTCCTGTGTATTTGCGAGCCAATCACTAACTGGCGTTAGGAAAGAAAATATGATGTGATGATTGTGACTGAGCTGCCATCTGTCATTTCTGGAATGACTCAAAAATTTCCTTTGGTAGATTTTATAACCTCAGTTCATTATTAACCAGCGTAGTGTCATACTCTACTGTGCTTGCTTATGTTAGTTCTAAGGAATATAGAATTAAAACTGTATGTACTTTGCTGTGAAGGAAGTCTTCTAGTCAGTGTTTGATTTAAAAATAGTCAGGCATTGCACGCTCTGCGCAGAAGGATTTGGTCATGAAGATCTGTGTTGGGATTGTGTGTTTAAGCTGCAAGTCCCTGCTGGCAGCCAAAACCTCTGTCTAGTGGTTGACAGCCCTGGTCCTGGCCACGTGGTCCCACCATCCATGCATCAGCTTTGGTGCTCATCAAACCTCTTGATTTCAGAATGCTAAACCAGCTAGGGCTTTGTATGGAGGGAAGGAGGGAAGTAGGTCGGGTTATTTTTCTGCAGTTTAGCATTTGTAATGAGTCAGGGAAAGTCCTGCCATCTGTTGGAGGTGGTACAAGGGAGGGAGTGAGACACCAGAAGCTGGATCAGTGTCAGCTGCCCTGGAACTGCGGTCTGTTGTCTTGGATTCACACGCAAGCAGAGCTCGTCTTAACAGCTCACTTCTGCCAAAAGTGGGAAGTCACTTCTTCCCAGCACCCTGCACTTTTCCATTTCTGGCACTCGTTGACTGACATGAAAGGGTATAATTTAACTTGCTAACCCAACAGGAAACAAATGGATAGTTTTCTGCTGGGCTGGCAAATTAGATTAGCTTGGGTAAGGTCCAACTGGTGCCAAAGCTAGGAGTAGGGAGCAGATGGGACTGTGCTGCTGAAAACAAGAAGGAGAGGAACTAGAGGATTTCCTGTTTAGGTGACAGTGAACTTTGATATCAGGTCACCACATAACATGGAAAAATATCTCTTGGAGATGTCAAGAGGCTCGCTCAATGGTGCTACTGATTTTGAGGGATAAGGTCATTTTTCCTCACCACAAAATCGTAATTTTCTACCCATTGATTAAATCAAACTTACCAAGAATGATGTTCCAGAATGGCTGTAAAACTGCTCAAGTGAACAAGTATAAATGTTGAAATCGATTACATTTCATAAAATGTTAGGAATTAAAAAGAAAAAAGAAAATTGAGGCATTCCTACCAAAAACTTTTTAAACTACAGGAAATAAATAAAGCTAATACCAGTCAATTTAGGTTTGAGAATAAACTAAGCATTACTGGCCAAATGCAACTTAATCTGTTAGGCAGATAATCATGCTTTTATATCAAGGTTGTGTAAGGGTGTTTCTATGCAAATGAGAAAGTGAACAGGTTTTTATTTCTTTGTGAAAACACACGGTTAATCTCAAGTTGTTGTGAGAGTTCCTTACTGCAGCGTTGGCAGCACATCAGTATATGTTCTGGAGATTAAGCAAGAGATTGTGATTTTAAAAAATGCTGAGATCAATGAAAGCAGTATTATTTTAGTGCCTAGAGGTTCTCCTGCAACCAGGACTGCGCTGTGCTCGATGCTATACAAATACAGAACAAGAAGAGAAAAATGACTTGTAGTTTAAGGGCTTATTTGCCAGCAGCAGCTATTGCAAAATACAAGCTAATGTGCTGTATTTGAAGTGTAACAGCCATTTTGCAATAACTCCACGCAAGAACGTTCCCTTCACAAAAAACCCAGTAGCGAATTGTTTTGATGGGACGATATGTTATCACTCCTCCTTTCCCAGGCCGTGCTGTTCCTGTCATTTCCCCTTGTTGGATGCAGTGCTGCTGCAGCCCTGGAGTGAAGCAGTACAGCTCTCTGATCCAAAGCAACACCAAACCATTAAAGCACGTACCAAGTTTTCAGTCTGACCAAACAAATTGAGCCATGCATTCACTAGGACACAAGAAAAGAAACAGGAACATACAGCTGGGACATGGAGAAGAGAAAGCATATTATGCTGGTTTAGATATAACATGAAACTGCGTCAAGCTGTGGTTTCATCAGTGGTTTAAATTGGTGTAAGCCGGTCTTAACTGATAATTCCTAATGCTGTATTGCCCTTTCTTGCACTGTTATAGGTGTTAGTATTGCAATGCAAGGAACTTCATTTGGGAACTGATCTTAGGAAAAACTAAACATTTTGTGAGCCAGGTTTGAAGGAGGAAACAAGCAAAGAATTCCAAGCGTGAAATTGCTAATGTGAAAAGGGTCTTGTATTAGCGGACAGAAAATTAAGCTTGGAGTCATCTCTGTATGCAATCATACATCAACCAAGATCTGACTTGTTTTGCATACAGTGCAAAGACGTCTGCACTTGCTCAAGTGCTATGCTCTGGCCCTTACCTTACTTTAAGGTGTTCCTGTTGTCTTGAGAGGGGACTTTACAAGCACATACAGCTGCAGAAAATGGCTTGTTTGAAAATGAGTATAAGATGACTGGCAATCAGAGACAGGAGCTGTCACTGATAGTGAATGAGAAGTGATAGGAAGCATGAAATCAAGCCTCTGAAAACCTTGACACTTAAAACTTTTAGCTGATATTTGATGCAGGAGATTGAGGATGGATTTGTGACACCTCTCCTGCTATAATGCAAAACTACGAATCTTAAAAATTTGACTAATACTAAAACGTGATTTTACTTCTCAGTTCCTGAGATGAAACATTTCTCAAGAATGGACAAAAAAAATAATCTTGTTTGCAATTTCTACTCACAAATCCATTTCTCTGTGCTAGCTTCTTGTGTTTGTAACTTGAAGCAATTAGTAAAAAAGTTACCAGTTAAGCATGTCTGATTATAAGCACGTTATTGAAGCATTAGATATTTCCTTAAGTGCGTTCGTGGTAAATTGAGACTTCTGGAATGCAGAAGATCTGAACAAATGGAAGAAACAAAGTTGCAAATCTGGTGCTTCACTGATTCATTTCTCTGTGTGTTGACTAGCATCAAAATATAATCTAGAAGATACGTAGAAAACTAAACCAGTCTTTCAAAATTGCCACAAAAAATACGATCCCATGGTCAAACCTCTTCCAGTTGGTACTTTGATACAATAGTGATAAAAAATGTTTTCTCTACCACTTGACATTAACCACTAAATTTAAACAAAATTAAGCATAAAAAGCCCTCCACAGTTATGAACAGAAAAACTCATCTGTCTTTTACAGTGCTTACCAGTAGATCCTGGCCTAAAGCATAATTAGCAGAGGGGATGAGAGCTGCACAGAGCAGTCTTTATAGAGAGTTTTCAGAAAATAGTAGTGATCAGATTGTACTGTTGCCTTACACAAAATTCCTTAACTCGGAGGCCTGTGAAGTCCTAGGGGAATATAACAGGAAAAAAAACCCAAAAAACAAAATGAAACATAATAAAACAATTACAAGATGTAGCTATGGTATAGTAGTATTGATTGAATAGCTACCAATACTACTAATATTGTGACTGTAAAAAGAAAACAACAAACCCTACAGTCCGATCCTTTCCCTCTTTTTACATCTCCATACTGCAATGTTCTTATGATCTCTAGTTTTGACCTCTTAAGTTTTCTTCTCTTCCTTTTCCATTTTCCTTCTTTTACTTTTCCTACATTTTATAGTATCTGCTTTCTCTTCTTTCTTTTTCACTTTTTAAAGAAGGTACCAACAGTTGAGTGTGAGAAAGAAACAGACTTTTTTTCCTCCAAATATGAAAGACAGATGACCTCTTTTTAGTATGAGGGTTGGATTTGCAACCATTAAAATGTTTCTACAATCTGCACTATTGTAATATTTCAGCAGACTTTCTTCTTTTTTTATTGCAGAAATTTCTCACTTTGATTCTACCTTGGAAGGACCTCAGTTTACAACCAAGTATTTTAAATGTAAGGAATAAGCTGGAAGAAAATAATCAGTGTAGACTTCTGTCGGGAATCTGTGGTCACCATTTTTTCCTTCCCTGTTATCACTCGTAGTCCATGAAATAAAAATCAAAGTCAATATAGCTTTTATGCGTGAGGCAAAAGGCCACTTTCTGAAGCCGTTTCGAATTTATTTCTTTTTCTATACATCCTTGAGTGTGATACAAATAAACTGAAAATAGAGACCAATAAGCACAGTGGAGTAGGCTGTCGGCAGAAGGTGTGAACTTCAGCCTCTTGTATTTAATTCACTTGTATTGGGATCTCAGATGCTGCTACATGAACTAAAAAGTCAGGGCTTCCTGGTAACGAAGCCTTCCTGCAGAGAAAGGTATCATTCTTTTATTGTTAATTAGGCGGTTTATCCTACTCCTGCTTGCATTTACCTTTCATCCTGCTTCTATTACTCGTAATTATAGCCCAATGTCTTCAGAAGGTCAAGTGGAAGAAGTCTTCATCAATCTCTCCTTTCCTCTGCAGGTGCACAAATTACATTGTTTTTCTCCTGAAACCATGCTTAATGTTTCCCTTGGAGTACATCGTTTTGTAACTATAGAAATGAGGAGAAATTTTCACTATGGAGCTGATCCAGGCACACTGGAGGAAAGATGCTTATGGTTTGTTGTGGACTAAGGTTTATAACTCATGCTGGTAATCAGTGATTTGATTTTTCTATTAGTGATTATTTTTTGCCATTTTTTTCTTAAAATCCTTATAATGTGAGGATAAATTTAAAATAATCTAGTCTAAAAGCAGTTGTTTCCTTAATTTTTTTTCCTTCAAGATTAAGTGTAGTGTTTATTCTTCAACTAGAATAACAGTAACAACTGTTACTGGTAACAACTCTGTTACTCAGGAAATTATCCCAATAGCACTAGTAGAGTATTGATTTCATCAGGGAGATAGGAAGCAGAGATTGATGAACACTAACAATAAAATCTGAAGTCTGGCTGTTGCAAGTGTCTCTGTAAGGCCCACCCAGGTGTCAAAGAAAAGTAGGAAATATTTACGTGAGCCAAATGACATAGGCAGTGAATTTGATCCCGTGTTTTTTAAACTGAATTCCATATTTTCTTTCTGAGGCATGATTGGATGCATCTATGTATGTTCTTTGTTCTATAGAGCCGGTAAATAGGGCAGGGCTTCTCTGCCAGCTACCGCTTTTATGGGGAAGCACGAAATTGCTCCGATATGAGTACTGCTGTGGCTCATAACTCCTGAACGTTTTGTGCATTTATCTTCAACCTGGTTCTCTGATGCCTGGCTCCTCTGCCTGGCAGAGGACAAAGTGGAGCACTGTGGGTTGACCTAGTTACTTATGCCAAAGTGACTAGTGCTTTCACCTGCTGATGGAAATCAGTACAAACATGAAAGGAGTGAGGAAACCAGAAGGCAATAGGTATGGTTTGATGAACGAAAAAGAAAAGGGGCCAGCAGGGGCAGGGGAGATCACAAAGGATATCTATTTTTAAGAGAAAAAGCAGGACTGCTTGCTGAAATAGCAGGTCATGAAGGTGAGACAGGAATAGAGAATGGAGCAGGGTAGAAGGTGAAAGGACAGATCAAAAGATTATTGAACTGAGGAAAATGTCACTAAGGGGCAGTTATGGGTAAAGGATGCAGGAAAGAAAAAAAAATTAAATTCATTTAATCAGAAAGAGCAACCGTAGTCAATTAGGAGGGAAACTACCATGGGAACGGCTGGAAACTTCTTCGTAGTGAGCGGGAATGACAAAAAAGACAAATATGAGAAGAAGAGAAACAAGGAAACTTACATTTCATGTGCTTGTTAAAAGTAATACTTCTCACTTCTGCAGCTTCCACATCCAGAATATTCATCCAGTGACGTTTTCCCAATTCATTCGTTTCCTCTTTCTTATCTTTTCCCTGCACCCTTTTCATTGTGCATCAGCTGAAGAGCCAGCACCTGACTGAAGTCTTGCTAAAACCTTGCTGCGCTGTGGTCCAAACAGCCAGTGTGTACCCACGCTCCACTTAAAGAAATATTACATATACATATAAGCAGGTAGAAGATATTCCTAAATTAATGCATTTCTAAATTAATGTTACACCATTGGCAAAACTTCTTGGTGGCTGCACTTTCATTTTTCGTGTGTATGGTCTCTTTCCTTTCCTTTCCTTTCCTTTCCCTCGGCTTGAAATGTACTGCTCTTCGACGAGCATGCCCCTTACAGAAAATGTTGTGGAGAAGATGCGTAATTCACGGTGATCGTACCCTCAGTTTCAGACTTATCTGAAGTACTAGTGGCAGCAGAAAGGTTGGTTTGGTTCCAATAAAATGTCAATCAAGCAGTAATATTTTCTTTTTACCTTTATTTATCCAGAAAGAATTCTGAATGCATATATTTTCTGTAACTGAATACCAAACTCCCAGAATGCTTAAAATAAAAACAAATTTCAAAATCTCAAAAAGTATTCTTTTATGCAAAAAGAGAGGGGGTTGTGTTCCATCTTTTAGCAGGATCTTGCCAGGTTAAGTTGAATTTAAAAACCTGTTAGTATCTTTGCTGAATTTCAAATAAGTTTATGTCTTATTTCCTGTCATTTTTTTGCCCGCATGATTCAACCTGTGTGTTGAAAGTACGCTGGTCAGTTTGGCTTTTTCAAAGTACAGTGCTAATAACATAGTGTGCCGTGTCACAGGGAACGGTGTCATTTCTTTGGTTTCTGTGGTGGTAATGTTAAGGCAAGTCAGGTTGCCTATATGGAAAGTAAATCTTGTTGAACTTGCCACATGAGATTACAGTTTCTCATGTAATCAGGCACTTGGAAAAAGCGATGCTGGTGGAGTGAGCTTGTTGCATGGAGTCATTTAGATAACGCAATGCTGTTATTTAGCCACATCTTCTAGGAATCCTTGTCTGTTGCTGGGGGTAGGCAGTGGACTCCAATAGATTGGTTTTCTCCAAAAAGAAAAAAAAAAGCATGGCTCTTTTGGAGGGTACAGTAGATGCCTCCACGCTAAAGTGATTTAGTGGTTTCCTTGTCTCGGCTAACTTGTAGCTGGTGGTATGTTTGCCTCCTACTCAACACATGGGACTGCAGATTTTCAGCACTTGTGTTCTCTTATCTGTGAGAATTTGGAGATTCCGTCCATTTAACCAATTTAAATGGTTAAAGAGGGTGCTCTGGGCTAATGTTCTGACAAGAAAGCTAATGTAGTAACTAAACAGCTTTGCAGGATTAGGACAAAGTATTTCCTCCTTCCTGTAAAGTCTTAGCCCCAGGATATGCATTATTAGACAGGTTTTTTTTCATAATTTCTCTTTTTAAAGTTAGTCTTCACTCTTGCAGGGGAAGAAAATGGAAAAACCTAAGCTCTAAAACTAGTTTAGTGAGCGGCCTGAGCTTTCATGTATTCTTCAGTTCCCATACACTGTAAGAGGGGGAAAAAAAGAGGAGGGGGGGGGGAGTTGGCGGTGTTTGTTTGGTTTTTGCTGTGTTGGGGTTGGTTTGTTTTTTTAAACCCGTTCCACTTGC